AATTCCCACATCCCCCATTTCCCATATTCTCCAATTCCCACCTTCCCCAATTCCCACATTCCCCAATTCCCACAGTCCCCAATTCCCACATCCCCCATTTCCCATATTCCCCAATTCCCACATTCCCCAATTTCCACATTCCCCAATTTCCACATTCCCCAATTTCAACATTCCCCAAATCCCACATTCCCGAATTCCCACATCCCCCATTTCCCATATTCTCCAATTCCCACATTCCCCAATTCCCACATTCCCCAATTTCCACATCCCCCAATTCCCACATCCCCCATTTCCCATATTCCCCAATTCCCACATTCCCCAAATTCCCCAATCTGATTTGGCAGTTTAGATTTTGATGTGTCAGAAATTTTGGAAGTATCCTAATTACAACCTTGTCCAGTCGGCCATTTTGGAAAAAGACTTCAAAATGGCGGACTGCAGTGTTCAACAAATCCTGCTGAAATCTTCACGTTTCAAAATTCACGAATCTGCAAATTTGACAGTCTCGAAATGTTATTCGTTAAAAAGTTAGGAACTTGCGAGCTTATAATTCTGTAAACTTATAATTTAGCATCATAAAAGAATGGAAACATAAAATAAATACATTCTAGTCCCCAGCCATATAATTACAGCGATCCCATTGACTGCACAGATTACGTTCCTGAATAACATTAAAAAGAAAAACGAGGAAGAGATTATAATTGATATATCATACATCAACAAATTCTACGTAGAATCCGATTCGGATCGCAGACAAAGAAGAAAGCGAAAAGAGTTTCACGACGTGCATATCAGTCGTAAATCATGGATGCAACAAGTTTGCATGAAATTTTTTCAACGGTTCGACCTATGCACCGGCATGCAAACGTGATATCTCGATGATCTTTTGAACTAGAAAGTAATCAAACGATTCTGAAGAGAAGAAAATGCTTGAGATGTACGGATGATGTGTGGCTTGTAATCAGTCGCGGAGGAAACGTCGAATTCGATAAAGTCTCGATGTGTGCAGGATAATTTGTCTGGTCTGAACTTTCGCTTATATCGTGTAGTTGTTGAACATTGAAGTACGAACATCGGTGGAGTGATTTTAATGCAGGACTTTTGCATAACATTTTTATTTTTTTTTTATTCTTGTGGATAGAGGTTCGACCTTTCGCTTGTATCGTGTAGTTGTTGAGCATTGAAGTATGAACATCACTGGAGTGATTTTAATGTAGGACTCTTGCATAACATTTTTATTTTTTTTTATGGATAGAGGTTGAACTTTCGCTTATATCGTGTAGTTTCTGTATTGATTGAAGTATGAACTTCAGTGGAGTAAGTTTTTTATGAAATTTTTATAAATATATTTGTGATATTTTTCTGATTGAAATGAGACTAAACGTTATTGAAATTAAATTGATTAATTTATTAACATTAATTTATTGGTTACACTTTACAAACTTGCAAATACAGGAAATAATCAACAAGAAAATGCTTGCCAGTCGGCCATTTTTTCTTCACCAAAGTCGCCCGATGTTCAAATCCGTTAGTTCACGGAAGTGTGAACGGTAATTTGAAAATCATTATTCTTTCCAGCGAGCACTGGAAAAGATGCAATTCACGTAATCGCGAAGAAATGTGTTGAATTCCGTGAGTCACAGTCGGTGCTTGTTTCCTAGTTCGATAGAAATCGTGAAACGATCGGTGTCGCAATCGGTTTGCAATTGCTTTAAGTCGAGGAAGTAGGAATTTAGGTAATCGCATTTATTAACCTTGATCGATGTAATTTTCCGGTACGTGATCGTTGGTACAAATCGAGTTGGGGGCAGACGGAGCTCTTGCCCCACCTCTTGCGAATCGGGCCATTTGACGGGAGGTCGTTGGCGTAAATACGGTTGAACTTTTGGTTGGTTCGGCACTCTTGTATTCGCTACTCTTGTATTTATGTGGACAATGGTTTGGGTACCGGGTAATCGGGTTTGGAATTTTTGAGACATTTAGGTGATGGGAGTTTGGGACTTGTGGAATTTGGGTCTTGTGAAATTTGGGATTTAAGGAGTTTGGAGAATGTGGGATTTGGGGAATGTGGAATTGGGGAATGTGGGAATTGGGAAATGTGGGATTTGGGGAATGTGGAATTGGGGAATGTGGAATTGGAGAATGTGGATTTGGGGAATGTGGAATTGGGGAATGTGGGAATAGGGAAATGTGGGAATAGGGAAATATGGGATTTGGGGAATGTGGAATTGGGGAATGTGGGAATAGGGAAATGTGGGAATAGGGAAATGTGGAATTGGGGAATGTGGGAATTGGGGAATGTGGAATTGGGGACTGTGGGAATTGGGGAATGTAGAAATTGAGGAATGTGAGAATTGGGGGATGTAGGAATTGGGGGATGTGAAATTGGGGAATGTGAAAATTGGAGGATGTAGGAATTGGGGAGTGTGGGAATTGGAGAATATGGAATTGGGGAATGTGGGAATTGGAAAATGTCGAAATTGGGAAATATGGGAATTGGGGAATATGGAATTGGGGAATGTGGGAATTAGGGAATGTGGAAATGGGGAGTGTGGGAATTGGGGAATGTGGAATTGAAGAATATGGAATTGGTGAACGTGGAATTGAAAAATGTAGGAATTCAAATCTTCTACCATGAAGATTTCATCAGAATCTTCCCAACACTACCGTCCACCATTTTCCATTTCCCCGTTTTCAAAATGGCGGCCCAAACAAGGTTACACTCAAGATCCTCACATCTCGGCCTTGCACAAGTTACTCGACCCTGACGATTGTCCCACAAATGTCAAAGCCATCAAAAGCAACCTTACTTTCCCCCTAAAAAATCACATTAACACGACAAAACAGAAAACCATTATTATCTCCGTCTCACGTATATTTATTAAACTCATTCTGTCCGCGAGTGCGTGATCAAACTGCCGACATTTTATCACGTTTCCGTCTGAGTGAGAACAGTCCGTCTCTTTAAGCGAAACGATTATTCGGTTTCCAAGTTCACGTAGCTGACATACTAATCACGGTGTACCGATATGTCTATTTAGAATGATCAAACGGAGAAAAAGGGTGAGAGAGAGGTAGACCGGAAACAAGGAGGGAGTCTAACCTCAACGCTGAACGAACTTTCTCAAGAATTTCACGTCCGCTTAATCAACGATCATTGTACGGTAGTTCTTTTATTTAGATTCATACTGGCCTTCCACTTCGTTAACTTTACGATAACATCGATACAAATGCTTTCTCATTTTCCGCTAATTTCGAAATATCGGAAATAAGTCGATCTGTTTGATCTGGCGGACTAATTGCGTTCTAACTCAATTATGTAACTGGAAGTTTTCGAATCAACTCGATAATCACTGTAAACAGTGTTTAACTTTTTATTTACATGAACTAAACATATAATCTTTGAACTAAACATATAGTCTTTGAAAAGAAAATTCTTAATGTCTATAGAGTATATTGGGTTAGGTTAGGTTAGGTCCTGTATCACTGATCAATTATTTCGAACATCTGAATATTCACATCGATGACTTACACGAATTAAAAATATTTATAATCGTCTTTGAAAAGAAAATTCTTAAAAATGTGAAAGGACGTCTATGCACTACATTGAGTTAGGTTAGGTTAGGTCCTGTTTCACTGATCAGTTATTTCGTACATCTGAATATTCACATCGATTACTTACACGAATTAAAAGCATTTATAATCATCTTTGAAAAGAAAATTCTTCAAAATGTGAAAGGATGTCTATACAGTACATTGAGTTAGGTTAGGTTAGGTCCTGTTTCACTGATCAGTTATTTTGAACATCTGAATATTCACATCGATTACTTACACGAATTAAAAGCATCTATAATCATCTTTGAAAAGAAAATTCTTAAAAATGTGAAAGTATATCTATAAAGTACATTGGGTTAGGTTAGGTTAGGTCCTGTTTCACTGATCAATTATTCTGAACATCTGAATATTCACATCGATTACTTACACGAATTAAAAACATCTATAATCGTCTTTGAAAAGAAAATTCTTAAAAATGTGAAAGGATGTCTATGCAC